TACATTTATCAGCCAAAATGTTCAAAAAACTTCATAGAAAATTCTCCCACAGGAATTGAACCTGTAACCCTCATAGGAACCATCATTTGATCTGACTTGCTGTTAACCATTCAGCTACAAAGAAGCGTCTGGTTAACAAAGTCTGAATTGCAGTTTGTAAACATACAGATAAGTGAATATTGCATTAACAATTTTTGGGAGATAATGATTTTTCTATATAAAACAACTATTATTTAACCCATAGCTGGGAGAGAAGAGATGGACTATGTGGATAACAAAAAGAGAACTGTCCAGTCCTATAGATTAAATAAAGTGTTTGGTTTGAAATTTCCTGAAGATTACCACCTCTGACAGACACCTGAAAGTGACCAGATGATACAAACATTGAGACGAGAACAACCAAAATGGAGACACTAGTAAATCAGTATATCATAAGCATTTCTCATCTAACATATTTTCAGACAAAAAAAACAAAACAAAAAAAAAACGTTCTTGTACATGCGTCATTACTTGCCAAACATGGTCTTATTCACTCATTTCTTGCCAAACATGGTCTTATTCACTCATTTCTTGCCAAACATGGTCTTATTCAGTCTTTTGTGCTATCAGTTACATAGATTGAAACAAGCAAATTAATAAATTTCATGATGAATTTTTGGTTAAAATAAAAAATAATAAAACATGCTATTTTCATACATTTATTTTGCTTAAATAATGATACCTCCCCCCAGTTTTTTTTTTTAATTGCAACACGTTCAATTGATATGATACTAAATAATACATTAAGCATCTATGCATCAAAGTTGTTCTAAATTCCTATAATTTAAGAAGGCTAAAAAGTGGTTTTGTGGTTTTAAAGAAAAGACAAAAACAAGTATAATAAAAGGTACTATTTTAATTGAGGGAATGTTTGAATACTAATTTAATTTCCGATAAACTACAATCCGAAGTTCCACCAGTTCAAACCTCTAAGACTGACCTACAATGCCATGTCCACATGGGGTGAACCATCATCATTCAGATTCTATTCCACTGATAAAAGAAGTTCAATTCAAACAGCTTCTTTCCAGGAACCACTGCTTTATGGCACAGACTTTCAAAAGGATGCTTTCCATGACCACAACAATCATAACATCTTAAAGTCTCCAACATATTGTACTATCCTCTACCTTTACAAAACCCAGATCAGGCCAAAAATGGAATATTGCCAACATATATGGACAGGAGCTGCATGGTCTTCACTTTGACAGAGTTCAAAAGCCTTTTCACGTTTTTGCGAGTGGCAATAATTTTCCACCCTTTTCTCACAGATGAAACATTACAAACCACAATTTCCATGGAAAGTGTCCAAACGAACTATTCCTTAATTCCACCTGTTATATACATCACAGTCAAAACCTGCAATGCTATGCACATTGAAGTGAACCACCCACATTCCCTTCATATTCCATTGGTGAAATGTTAAGTTCCACTTAAGCAGCTTCCCACGAACCACTGCTTTGTGGAATTGGCTTTCAAGAGGATGCTTTCTCAAAAACTACAATCATAACCCATTCCAGTCTAGGATCAACTGTCATCTTCCGCACATATCCCTAAAAACTATGCTTATAGTTCTGTAACCTTCTACCTTGAGCATCGTGGGCAAGATGATAAACTACATCTGAGTCCTGGGTAAGACAATAAACTACATCCAACAACAAGGCCTCTGATCAGGAGGTTTTGAGGAGCATGGAACCACCTCTTATTTGCTGGTGTTCCCAGATTCACCCTGACCTGGAGTGGTAGCACCTGTTAGGGTCCCAGCTATGGACAAATAGTTAACCCCCAAACTGGGGTCAAAACTCTATGAAAGTGTAAAAATAGGTTTTAATACCAGCAATACAATTTTGTAAAAAAATTATTACCAGCAATGAATTTTTGAAGAAAAAAATTATTACTAGCAATACATTTTTGAAGAAAAAAATATTACCAGCAATAAAAATCTTGTTGGCATTAAATAGCCCTTTGGGGTTGATGTGCCGTAAAACAAACCAATCTACTTTGAGTGACTTGCAGGCCTTGTACATGCTAAACATCACTATAAAAAATATATATACTCTTAATGTACATTCTTATATTGCAAAAACAAGTCCATTTAGTAACAGTACTTTGAATAAATGTAGCATTAAAAACAAAATCAATGACTATTTTTCTCGGTCATATAATGGAAAGTCTCAGTAAGTGGTTAACAAAGTGCATTTCGTTTTTTATATGCAATTCTCTTAAAGGCATGAAAAGGTGAACCAATAGTCTGAAAATGAATTCTGATCTGAAATGTTCACTGTATAATGTTGAATTTATATGATAAATAAAGAAGTGTTCGGTTAATCACATTGACAAAGGAGGAGACCACAGGAATCCCTCAATTAGTGCTTCTAATTTGTACATTAGTAACTATAAAAATATCAATTTTTAATTACTATGGTTAAATTGAAGAATATCGTATTATGTATACACTAATTGAATTTTGGTATATAAAAATTTTAGTGCGTTAATTGAAAATGCATCGATGGAATGCGCATTGATCGAGGGATACCTGTATACTGAAAAAAAATAAATACCTGATCAAAAATAAGTTTTTTTTTTCTTCGTTAGTCTAGACTTATTGATGTAATCACATATAAGGGCTGCTCACTTTTTGAAAATTTAATAAAATGAACAAACATCAGAATTTCTAAAAAAAAAAAAAAAAAAAAAAAATCACACCTTGGCTCATATGTCTTAAATTGTACTTGAACTGACAACACAAATCTTACAGAAGTTAAATTTCCACTGTTTCTGATAGAAGTGTTATTCTTCCTCATAATTGAGTGACTGATTTATTTTTTATGGCTTATCAACCTTTTTATAGGTTATTTAAAGCCAGAAAATATTTTTAGATTCCAATAATTTTTGGGAGATAATGATTTATTGATACAAGTCTTACTAATTAACCCATAGCTGGGAGGAGACAAAGGGGAATCATACCTTTCCCAAGGGTATTTGCACATAAATGAATATAATAAACCTGACTGGAATTGGAACTTAGCTCTCCAAATTCTAATTCTGAACTGTTATCCATGACACCACCTGCACACCCAAGCTTACAGCATCTAGCTCTTCCTCATGAAAGAAATCATGATTGACATGATGGAGAAGATCACATTTATTTATCCCCTCATGAAATCTTATCTAAAACAGCTTATCTTCCCTTAGCTATTTTGTTCACTCCGACATTGTTATAGCATTGTTGATGGGCTGTGCTGACCCGTTTTTGGGGAAAATAGGAAATTTATTGAAAATAAATGATGGAATAGACACTGACAATGATTTATCATGGGCACTGCCATGTTAGTTTTGATTGGTCTCTCTGCAGTACAGACTAAGTTAAACAACGTCCTCAACACCGTACAATAAAAAGATGTCACATCACAAAACAGGTTGTATTGTACACTACTAAATGTTTATGCAGGTTTGGAAATATCATTAAATTTTAATTAACTATGGAGTGACATTTCAAGATGTCCTGAAAACGTATGTATGCCAACAGTAGGCTATGTAAACTTTCTGAAGACGTATAATTACATCTACAGCAGCGGATGTGTTCAGGTTGTGATTAATTTGACATAAGTAGTTTTGTACTTCAATTCTGCTGTCTTTTAAATTGTCTTAGAGAATATAAATCAATGCTTACCAACTATTACTATAAAATAAATTAAAAATTAACACTTATCTTAAGATATAAATTTAGAAATTTAAACTCAATCACAAAATTTAGATTTCTATTTTTTTTTGGTGGGGTGGGGGAAATAGTTACTTTTATTTACGAAAAAATATTTTATGACTGGAGGGATCAAATTGTCCTCCATTTTAAAAAAAAAAACAATGGAAGCAAAATCATTTTGGATGTACACCATTTTAGTCAAAAGACAAATGCCAGGAAGTATTTCCTCAAGTCTTGCATTGCAAAATGTTGAGAGACCATAACATTAACCAACCCCACTACATAATCATTTTTTAAAATTTAAAGGAAAAAAGAATTTGAGAAAGAAGAGAAAAAAATTAAAGGAAGAGAGAATGTAGGGCAGAGGTGAGGTGGGGGGGGGTAGGGGGGGATGAGAAAAAAAAAACGAACATGTTAAGGTGGATCAAGGCGCGTCAAAATTCAAAGTCGGATAATCAAAGAATTTCTTTGCATGAAAAATGTCAGAGTAACCTCTCGGGAAGGGGAGAGAGAAAGGAGAGAGAGGGAAAGAGAGAGAGAGGGAAAGAGAGAAGGGGAAAGAGAGAGAGAGGAAAGAGAGAAGGGAAAAGAGAGAGAGAGGAGAGAGAAGGGGAAAGAGAGAGAGAGGGAAAGAGAGAAGGGGAAAGAGAGAGAGAGGGAAAGAGAGAAGGGGAAAGAGAGAGAGAGGGAAAGAGAGAAGGGGAAAGAGAGAGAGAGGGAAAGAGAGAAGGGGAAAGAGAGAGAGGGAAAGAGAGAAGGGGAAGAGAGAAGGGGGAAAGAGAGAAGGGGAAGAGAGAGAGAGGGAGGGAAAGAGAGAAGGGGAAAGAAGAAATGATAAAATAGAGAGCATGAGGAAAGCAAGAAACAAAACATGACAGACAAAAAGAGAAAAGAAAAAAAAATTACAGAAGAAAGACGACAGAAGAATCTGGTCAATCTGCATCACATGAAGCAGACATATTTAAAACATCAGACAACACTAAAATTGGTTAATGAAATTAAAGCAAAAACCTGATTTGCAAATTACAGATTATCTTCAAAATCAAGAGCAGAAGGAAGAAACAGGCAAGAAACTCAAGAAATTAGCCAATGGAATGCCAGGTTTGTTTATTTGAGATGTTTACATATTGGCTATTATTAAAATAGAAATGAAGCCAGTCATGTAAGCCTAATGACAAATAAGAGGAAAAAGGTGGTTTCAATTGCAGTACCTGAACAAGAATAATTAAGGAAATCATTTTTTACAGATAAACAAGTGAAAAACCACAGCCTCAGATATTTAGTTAATCTCCACCATCTTTTCTTTGACAGCACAGCAAACTAAGCAAACTTTAAGCAAACTTAATGAAATAAGGAAAAATTTGTGTGAATATAGCAAAATAAAAAGTTCATAAATTTTAAGTTTGTCAACATTTGCTTGAATTTTAAGTACAAAATACATATATTTATTCCTATATATAAATGTGAGCACTTATTTTTACAAACACACAAAGCAAGAATATATTTCAGCATGTAATAAAGTCAAAACATTGTTATACATTAAAATCCAGCCAATACTCATGTCAAGAGAGCATAATAACTTACTGTATTTATTAATGCACAATGTAATTATATGTATAATGCAATCCCTACTTTATACATGCAAAGAGAGTTATACAAAGGCCTTGTAAAGATTACTACAGATGATTAGGATCAAAATCCAGCCATACTCTCATCAAGAGAGCATAATAGTAACTTACTGTATTTATTAATGCATAATGTGTGTGTATATATATATATATATATATATATATATATATAATGCAATCCCTACTTTACTATACATGCAAAGAGTTTTAAATCCTTTTTAAAGATTACTACAGATGATATATGATTAGGTTGAAATCCAACCACACAAACATCAAGAGAGAATAGAAACTTACTCTATATATTAATGTACAGTTTAAATGTATATGACCCCTGCTGATTTTGGCATGTAAAAAAGCATGAATTTATTTTATATTATATATTATTCAACCCCGACATTACTAAGCAAGGAAGGTGCGAAATTTTTAAGACATCATCTGATTGTGAAGATGATTTTAGAAGCCAGTGTTAAATTTGTTTAACAATATTAGGAATAAAGATTAAGACTTCTGTCATGAAATAATACTGACTGAGCATATGTGCAAAGTGCGTGTCTAGGGGGAGTATTGAAAAAAGTAAACAAATTGACAAAATATCACACCTGTATATAATGGGAAAATCTTTCCAGCATTTCACTATTGATACTAAACTTCTTTTTTTTTTTGCATTGTACAGGAAGAAATTACAGTAATCAGATGCAAAGTAAGGTACTGCCACTTTTTTCGCTAAGATTTTTGGTACCTAAGGCTTGAAATGAATTTTTAAAAATGAAAATGCAATCTTGAAGATTTTGTTTTAGTTTTAATCGAAAGCTAAAGGATTTAAATTGACTATTTCCAGTAGGTAAAATACTCTGACATATTTCAAATAAAATTATATAGATTGGAATGTCAAATATTTACTTGATTTCAAAAAATCTGTTTACTGGAAGACATTTCTTACATTTCAACAAGTTTTAAATTAAAATTTAATTATCTGTTTTAAAAATCTTTGAAAAATAAAATTCATATTTGTGACACGTTATCTGAGTAAAATTAGCAAATTTAAAGTTCAATTAATCTGATTTGTAACAAATATTACTTACTTATAGCATTAAAAAAAAAAATTGTATACAAGCATTTCTTAATAACGAGTCCTGTTTTTCTTATGTCTTATTGACATTGAGGTGTTGACAGTATGGATGACCAGAATTGACATAAAATTACAAAATCTAAGTGAACACATTTTTTTTTTTATTTTTCACTACCTAGTAATATTAACATATTTTCAGCAATTATCCAATATGTTATTGACTTTTAGTTACATTCGAAGATACTTCCTGAAAAAAAAAATAAAATTTTCTTAAATTAATTTAAAAATTTAATAACTGAGATGAAATATCATGATAGAGGTAACTCAATAATTTATAAAATGTTGTGCTATTTTATTTATTATTAATTTATCATTTTTAATATCTTTTTTTTAATTTGAAAGTTGAAACAAACATCCAATGAATAACAAATTGCAGACAAGTGAATTTCTCTGAAAATGGAGGACAATTCTTATAACATGTTACCTTTTCATAATAATGTCACATTTAGACTACCATAGATGAAAAATGGGAATGATTAAAGTAAAAAAAAAAAATTATTTAAAAAATATAATAGTAAAATGATGTATATTAAACTCTTCAATTTTGGATTTGTAAATTTTGTTTCCACTTAATTACAATATCACCTAAAAGAAAGAAATTAATGCAGAATTTTAAATTATTATAAATTATCATAATTAAAATTTTAAAAGATAAAAAATTCTTGAAAATTCATTTTTCATAAAAAAATTTTTTTCTTAAGACAATAATCTTTTTAATATAACTTATTTACAAAAGCAATTAAAAGCTTTTCTAATTAAATAATGTCATCACTTGATTACATTTTTTAGTTTAGCATTTGGAGCAGATTTTCAGTACAAATAGTAACAGCTTGAAAAAAAAAAAAAAAATTGAATGATTTACACTCTCCATGGAGCCCTACTTTTAAACTAATAAAAAAAAATTCTGGAAAGAAAATTTAATTTTGCAAAATTTCATGAAATTGAGTAAGTGTGTGTATGTGTGTGTGGCGGGGGCATAACAGATATAAAGAAAATTTTTTTTTACCAAGATTTTCTAAAACAAAACTTTCAAAAATAATTTCATTCATTTGTGGATAAGTCCTAAAAGTTTCATTAAAATCTGACAGTTATTTCATTTTTGCTAGAATTTCCGAATTAAAAAAGACAGAGAGAGAGAGAGAAGAGAGATTTTTTTTTTTAACTAAAATTTCGAATGTGTTAGAAAAATTTAAAAAAAAAAAAAAAAAAAATAATCAAAAAATACTTTGGTCTTTTCTCAAAATAATAAACATTTTGACAATAAAACTTTGTTTTTATTAAGTTTGTGGCCTTTTTTCATCATACTATGCTGTTTTTTCAGCAAGCAAGAGGAGGGACCTATACAATATGTGTCCAGGAAAGAAATACATTTGTACAGACATATACAAATTTGGAAATGATTATCATAATATCCATTATAAATTGACTTTTTCTGGCGTTCTGATTTCAAGGAGACGTGTTTTTTGTAGCTCATAAATAAATTAACAGATTTTAACTTTAAATGGAAAAAAATAAAAATATTGCTTAAAAGTAATATAATATAATCCACAATTATTATCTCTTATTTCATTTAATATATGTTATGATTAAGAATAGATACATTTCCTATTGCCCAGTTCTCACACCTCCTCAGTTTTTGAACAGGATAAATGTTTATCCTTTGTTTTCTGGTTCCTTCTAAAGTCTTCTCATTCTCTTTCACTAGCCCCATGCATCTTAGTTGCATAATCACTTTGCTTGGAGTGAATTGATTAAAAAAAAAATATATATATATATATATATATATATATATATATATAGTTTTAAGGCATGCTATATTTATGGGAAAATGTGCTCAATATCAGAGATAGAGCTCAAGTAAATATAAAGGTGAACATTGAAGTCAACACTCAGAGGCAACAGACTGTATCATGCTAACACAATTATCAGGCCACATGCATTGTTTTTTCTCGACTATTTATATATATGGGTCAGTGGTGCATCATGGGTAGTCTATTCTAATGGTTAGTTTGGCGGGAGTGGTTTGTTAATTTGTTTATTATTTGCTTTATTTATGTATTTGGATTAATTTATTTTACTTGTTTTTGCTTATTTATTTTTAATTATTCTTTTCAATTTTTAAGTAGTAAAAGTTTGTTTTTGTGTTTGTACTTTGAAATGAGTTCTGATCATTTATTTAGTAGTTTGTTTTGGTCTGGGAAGATAATTATAGCTATTTTTTCCTCCAAGCAGAGTTTGCAGTTTTTGGATTGATTGTTGTAGGCTGATGATATTTCCATGATATTTTTGGTGTGATTTGTTTTTTTTATTTTTAATTTGCCAGATATACTTGGAAAGCATGGTGTTGTTTGCATATTTACTATTTGTAAAATGTGTTTTTTGTGTGTAGTTTCTTTGTTTCCAGGGTTCTTCAGTTACTATGTATATTTTTTCTTTGTTATCTGATGAAGGAAGTATTAGTAAGCATTATAAAACAAAAACCTATTAAGAAAGTATATTTAAAGTATTCAAAAAATTAAAAATATTTAAAAAGTGAAAAAGTATTTAAAAATAAAGTATTTTGAAAAAAATAAGTGTTAAAAATATTTTTGAAGTATTTAAAAATATTTTTAAGAGCCTTAAAAAGTATTTTTAAAAATAAATATAAAAAAGTATTTTAAAAAATAAAGTATAAAAAGATATGTATGAAAATAAAGTGTTTAAAAATATATTTAAAATAAAAAGTATTAAAAAAAATAAAAAAGCATTTAAAATGTAATTAAAACTATTTTTAAAATATAAAAGTATTTTAAAATTTTTAACTTATTAAAAAACATTTTAAAATATAAAATTTCATAATGTACTAAAAAATACAAAAGAATTTTTTTTAAAAGTAAAACATCACTAACATTCCTGCCATTGTGAGAAGAATCTTATTGGCCAGTTACTTTCACCACAGTACTCTAACTACCCTATTCCTACCCTTAATCTAGCTGATCTAGTTAAAGGAAATCTAATTGCAATACTTTAGACTCCCACTTGTCTGTTCTTGAACTCCATTAATTAGCAAGTAATTACACAACTGAGACAACATTTTGAAGATCAACTTGCACATCTCAGGGTAGAAAAGCTCACTAATGAAGGAGTCTGAACAGTAGCAAGATCAACACCTGTGGGAACAGACAGGTGTAAAATAACAAA